ACAAGGAATCCATTGTAAAGACATCTCCAGTAAAATTTGAATCCTATTTTCTGACGAATTAAATTCAATATATTATATTAATTCAGTTCAATATAGGGTCTCTTGCTTGAACAGGGGGTTAGACTAGAAGATTTCCAAAGTCTTATGTGTTATTCTATGTCTTCATTTCTTATAGCATGGACCCACTGATTTTTTTTTTCTATATTATTGTATATCAAAAATTTCTCTTATTTTTTTCCCCCTCTCCTCAGCTCACAGATCATCACCAGCCCTCTGCCCCTCATTTCTTCCCCGCTACCAACGGCAAAAACGAAAGAATCGGCTGAGAATGAAAACCTTGAGGTGAGCGGAGTAATCGAGAGTTGAGGTCAACTTTGAAAGGATAAGCTTTGGAAACGGGCAGAGCCTCTTGTACGTTTTGCCTGCATTGTGTGCAGGTGTCTGGATCTGGGTAGGTGTTGAAAAACTCAGAATGATGGCCACAATCATGCAATTGAAGCCTGGCCCTTTTCTTTTTTAAAACCAGCCTTATAAAGTGTGAGTGGTCTGATTCCAACAGACAGAAGCTCATTGAGGAGAGAAAGCAACCTAGAAATACGGAGAAATTTCCTGACCGCAAGGACAATGAATCAGTGGAACGGCTTGCCTCAGGAATGCATGGGAAGCTCCATCACTGGAGGCTTTCAAGAAGAGATTGGACAACGATTTGTCTGAAATGGTAGAAGCTTTTCCTGCCTGAGCAAGGGAATTGGACTAGTGTTCTGACCCAAGCCTCGTTCAAATCAAACGCAAAACATAGTTAAAAGCAAAACCTTTTTAATGTGTCTCTGTAAATTCTGTTCAATCACAGCAAAGCACTATTAAAACTAATTGTCCCAGATAAGAACAAGCCTTTGCAAGGTTGTGCAAGGCTGCCAAGAACACTAGATTAAATTGCAAGGAAATAATCGAAGCCAAAAGTGTCTGAAAACAAACCAGGATAGACTGAACTTCCACAAGGACTTGAAGTGCAAAACCTTCTTTGCTTCCTGCAAAGAACTCCGGTTTCTCAGCTGGCTTTTATCTCTTGAGGGAGGGGCGTTACCTTGCAGCCTTACTCCAGAGTCTCTCATGCTGCTTCAGCTGCTCTTTCCTTTGAGCAGCCCTGTGTGCACGCACACTGAGCACAGGCTCCTCGGGGTCCTCTTCATCACTGCTGCCAGCCTCCACAATCTCCACTCCCTGATGGTCCTGGCCCCATCCCTGCATCACACACAGGTACCTCATCTGAGTCCTCGCTCTCCGAGACCTCAGCCATCCGCACCTGCTGCCGGCGAACCACAACTAGATGATCCCCAGGGTCACTTCCAACTCTGTTATTCTGTTACTCCCTGTAACTTCTCCACTGCTTAGTTGATGAAGATATCAGGGTTCCAAGTGATGTACCCACAAAAAACAAACTCCCAGGCACTCATCTTCCTCAAATAATACTTTATTGGATATATCATATTGGCACAAACTGGTGAAAACCAACTCTGAGGTTTCCCCACGCCTTTCACCTAATTAAAAGTAAACATTTTCCCCTTTCTTCCCCAAGTCACTGGTCACACTGTCCAATCCAGAAGCTGGCCGGTTGCTAAGTTACTTGCTCCTCTTCTGGCCAGCCACCTATGAGAATGTCCTTGGCTCCCACAGGAAAACTCTATTCTTTTGGCTACAAAACCCCCTCTAACTATTTCCCTCCTCCCACTGCTGTGTGGCAATCCAAGATGGCTTCAGCTAGCCTCACATCAGGGTTGACAGGAGGAAAGTAAAAAATCATGGTTTTCATTCATTGTTTGTTTGTTTATTTAATTTGTTTGTCACTCATTTCAGCAAGACTCTGGGCAACTAACATCATATTGTTTATTTGGCGAACTCTAGAGTACCTGCAATGAAGATTTTTTTTTAAATTGCAATTTTATTGTGGTTTTATACATATATAGATTGCTGAAGAGGATGATAGATAGATAGATAGATAGATAGATAGATAGATAGATAGATAGATAGATAGATAGATAGATAGATAGATACTGTAGATGAGAGAGAGAGAGAGAGAGAGGAGAGAGAGAGAGAGAGAGATGATAGATAGATAAATAGATGGATGGACGGATGGATGATAGGAGGTTGAGCTATAAGACCTCCAAGGTTCCTTCCAGCTCTATTCTGATTGAAATCTTAGATCTGTCAAATTCCTGACTTTTTTGTTAAAAGCCTCCTTTATTTTTTTCTTCCAGCAAGACCTTTGTACATTCTTAATATCACGAGCATGCAAGAACTCCACACTGGGAAACTATTTGTACTGGTGAGTAAGCTTTTGAACTTCTCAGTGCTGAAAAGTGTCCCAGGTACAATTTTAATAGAGTTCAGAAACACAGAGTTTCTTGTTATTAATCAGTTGTGGGGGGTCCATCAGTGGAAGTGTTTAAACAGAGACTGGACAGTCATTTTTCTGGAACGGCACAGAATCTCCTGCTCGAGCAGGGGGTTGGACGAGAAGACCTCCAAGGTCCCGTCCATCTCTGTTATTCTGTTATTCACTTTCATTTTCTTGTAAGGAAGAAGTAGGAAAGAATTATGAACTACCACAATGCCAATCATGTGTCAGGAGCTTTTGGGGCTGTGGCTTGTTCCCAGTCCCACATCCATTCTACTCTTGTCAGCTCACTTCAGGACCCTTCCCTTTGGCCAGGTGGGATAACATGTCCTTCATGAGCGAGAGGGGATATAGGTTGTTTACACACAGTCCATTGATTGCTCTAAAGTCAACGCATAACCTCACGGTCCCATCTTTTTTTCTTTGAACAGGACTGGGGCTGCGACTCGTGGCTTGGTTGGTTCGATGAAACCCCTTTTTAAGTTTTTATCTATATATTTACACATTTCTTGCATTTCACGGGGGTGTCATGGCGTACATTTCGGGCTTTGGTAACTTTGTCCCAGGGATGATTTCTATGACGCAGACTATTTCGCGATGCGGGGGATAGGATGTCAAACTCCGTCTTGCTGAATACTTCAGCGAGGTCTTGATATTATGGTTACAGGAACTGGGCTTGGCTAGTATAGTAAAGAGAAGGATCAGGAGAGACAGGATAGCAGTCTTCCAATATTTAAGGGGCTGCCACAGAGAGGAGGAAGGGATCAAGCTATTTTCTCAAGCGCCTGTAGGCCAGACAAGGAATAATGGATAGAAACTGAACAAGGAGAGATTTAACCTGGAAATAAGGAGAAACTTTCTGACAGTGAGAACAATCTACCAATGGAACAGATGCTGCCTTCGGAGGTTGTGGGAGCACCATCACTTGAGACTTTCAAGAAGAGATTAGACTGTCATTTGTCAGAAATAGTATAGGGTCTCCCGCTTAGGCAGGGGGTTGGACTAGATGACCTACAAGGTCCCTTCCAACTCTGATTATCTGTTATCTGTTATTCTCTGGGGATCTGTCTGACCTCTGGGGTTCTGTCGGAGGTGGCTGCCAGTTGTTCTGGTGAACCCTCGGAGGGGGTTACCTGCATTGGCAGTGCCTCCATCTCTATGCCTTTATTTGAGACTCAGTATCCCAGGTAGTCCAACTGTGTGCGGTGAAATTCGCATTTTGACAGCTTGACGTACACATTTGCTGTTAAAAGTTTTTCCAGTACTTGACACACTAGGGGTACGTGGTCGTCCATCATCTCAGTATAGATGAGGATGAGGCTCATGATTTAATTGGAGTAACTGCCGGAATCCTGACAACCTGATGGTTTAATTTTGCAATCCAAACTGTTGTTTCTTCTCAGATGGGAAGGAAATAATGTTGAAAAATCGTACATTTAACCCAACTTGGGAGGGGGGACGGACATGCAGGACTTGCAACAGTTCATTTAGTGTCTGTTTGGAATCACAGCGCCACTCGAAAAACTGACCTACAACCATTTTTCACACTTACGAGCGTTGCAGCATCCCCAGGATCACATGATCATATTTCACATGCTTGGCAACTGACTCGTGTTTATGACGGTTGCAGTATCCCAGGGTCCTGTAATCCCCTTTTATGACCCTCTACACAAGCACAAGTCAATGGGGAAGTCAGATTGATTTAACAGTCGCATTCCTAACGTAACAACTGCAGTGATCCACTCAACAGCCATGGCAAGAAAATTTGTAAAGTGGGCCAAAATTCACTTAACAGCTGTCTCACTTAGGAAGAGAAATATTGGGCTCAATTTTGATCATAAGACCACCTGTATCTTCAAGTGAAAAATCTGAAATTTTCCAAAATATAGAACTGAATTGGTTCTATGGAATATTCTCAACCAAACTAAGGCGGAAAAAAAGAGATATTTTATCTGACTTTCAGAAAGTCAATTCTGTGCTACTCAATATCCGTGCAGAAGCTTGGCCCAGCTTTTATTAAGTAAATATATTGATTTGAATCTAATAATACCAATTAAATATGAGTTAAAAGTGAGCAGGGGGAGCCAAAAAAGCTAATGAAACCCTAAATTGCATCAACAGAGGGATACAATCAAGATCAAGGGAGGTACTAATACCCCTCTATAAAGCCTTAGTAAGACCACACCTAGAATTACTGCATCCAGTTTTGGTCACTACACTAAAAAGATGTTGAGACTCTAGAAAAAGTACAGAGAAGAGCAACCAGGATGATTAGGGGACTGGAAACTAAAACATATGAAGAACGGTTGCAGGAACTGGGCATGACAAGTCTAGTGAAGAGAAGGACCAGGGGAGACATGATAGCAGTCTTCTAATATTTGAGGGGTTGCCACAGAGAGGAAGGGATCAAGCTATTTTCCAAAGCACCCGAAGGCCAGATGAGGAATAATGGATGGAAAGTGAACAAGGAGAGATTCAACCTGGAAATAAGGAGAAATTTTCTGACAGTGAGAACGATCAACCAATGAAACAGATGTTGCCTTTGGAAGTTGTGGGAGCTTCATCACTGGAAACTTTCAAGAAGAGATTGGAGTCCCATCTGTCAGAAATGGTGTAGGGTCTCCTGCTTGGGTGGGGGTTGGACTAGATGACCTACAAGGTCCCTTCCAACTCTGTTAACCTGTTATTCTACATATGCAGAAGGAGAAGCTGTAGACGCGTACAAGCAATTCCTGACTTGCAACCATTCACTTAGCAACTCTTCAAATTTTACAATTGCATTGATAAAGAAAACAGACTTACGGCCAGTCCTTTACTTAAAACCATCACAGCAAAGTCATGTGACCAAAATTTCGGGTACAGTACTTGATAACTGATATTTATTTATGGCAGTTGCAGCTTCCGAAACTCACTTAATGGCCATGGGATTCACTTAACAACTGCTTAGGAACCGGGGCAAAAATAAATAAATAAATTGTAAAATCAGGCATGGCTCATTTAACAAGCGACCTTGCTTAGCAGTCGAAATTCTTGTCCCCGTTTGAAGTTGTAAGTTGAAGACTGCCTGTAGACATTTTCTTCTCTCCCTGAACTGGTCCTTTGCGGCTCTTTTTCCACCAGTCATTCCAGCTTCTTCTTGTCCCCATGAAAGGTACGTGATTGTGGAGTGTGAAGACCGAGACACACAACAGAGAGATCCCAAAACACATGAAATGTACCTCAACGTCATGCGTAGGTTTAGTCAAGCCCTCCTCAAGGTAAGGATTATTATTTTTTCCCCCCATTGTGCAATAGGGACATTGGAAAAAAAAAACTACAAGTGAGGAACAAAAGAGAATATTTCAGGGTTGAATGACTTGTTTTTCTGAAGGACCAGAAAGCAAGACAAGAAACAATGGTTGGAAATCTCAAAAAGGTTAAATCATGGCCACTGGATCAGCGTTTATTAAAACGGAGGTGCTTCGTTACTCATCCAAGTAACTTCTTCAATCAAAGTGAACATTTTGGGTAGCAGCAAGTTGTTGGAATGAACCAACTCTTGCCATACAGACCAGTGGTCGCCAACTGGTGGACTGGGGACCACTGGTGGGCCGCGAGAAAATTTTGGTGGTCCGCAGAAAAATGTCCCCCCCCAAAAAAAAAATTAATCCAGGCTGCACGGGAACACATGGCCTGCCCACCTGTTTGGCCCCCACCCTTTGGCCTAGCCTAAACCTTACCTTGAGTAGAGCCATGCAAGCTGGAACTGGAAGGAAGGGCCAACGGCAGGGGAGGGAAATCCATCGCGGGGTGGCTTGCTGACGTTGGTGGGAAAGTCGGTCCCATATTCCAGAGCTGCAGGAGTCACAGGACTGGCCCTTTGGTCATCTCGGAGCAGCTGTTCCTCCATCTGGGTGCACCGGCCTGCCATGGACTGGAGGAGCTGCTCCGGGATGACCAAAGGGCCAGTCCTGTGACTACTGCAGCTCTGGAATATGGAGACAGTCATTCCCACCTATGTCAGCAAGCCACCGTCAGTCAAAATTCATATTAGTGGTCCGTGGGATTTAAAATTATGAGTTTGGTGGTCCCTGAGGTCCAAAAGGTTGGCGACCCCTGATACAGACTACAGGGAGAGGAGAGAAATCCAACCAAAATGAAGATTCAATCATCCAGGCCAGCTTTCGTCCAGTTGTCATGATTGAACTTTTTGAAATACTTTTGGCCTGAATCTTCATTTACACAACGGATGGAAGCTAATCAAGGAGAGAAACAACCTGGAATTAAAAAAGAAACTTCCTAACAGTGAGGACAATTAACCAGTGGAACAGCTTGCCTTCAAAAGTCGTGGGCGCTCTCCATCACTGGAGGATCCCACTGGAGACTGGTCAGGCATTTGTCTGAAAGGAGATAGGGTTTCTTGCTTCAGCAGGGTGTTGAAGATCTCCAAGATCCCTTCCAGCTCTATTCTGATTGCAACTGGTCCTTGGTTCAGTCTGAGCTGGGTGCTTTCCTTGCAAATGTTTCATTATCCAACTAGATGACTTCATCAGGCGAGAAGGGAGTGCGGTTTGCTCTCTATTTAGATATAAGTGGTGTGTCCTGTCATTGTTGGTGAGAATGGTCTGGTTTTACAGCCTAGATCAAGAAAAGGAAGGAAGGAAGGAAGGAAGGAAGGAAGGAAGGAAGGAAGGAAGGAAGGAAGGAAGGAAGGAAGGAAGGAAGGAAGGAAGGAAAAGAGAAAGAAAAAGAAAAAGAAAAAAAGAAAAAGAGAGAAAGAGAAAGACAAAGGAAGAGAAAGAAAGAAAATGAAGGAAGGAAGGAAGGAAGGAAGGAAGGAAGGAAGGAAGGAAGGAATCTCAAGCCAATAAAATTGGCAGGTAGAGTCTGGGTCCTACGGTGGGGAATATCATGTATATCTTCTATAATGAGAAAAAGAAAAGAAAAGAAGGAAGGAAGGAAGGGAGGGAAGGAGGAAGGAAGGGAGGAAAGAAAGAAAGAAAGAAAGGGAAAGAAAAGAAAGCTTTTTTTGCCTCCTGATTTATCTAGGGTATCAAATCCATCCAGGTGATGCATTCCTTGTCTCATTTATTTGAGTTGGTAGTTTCTTGATTGAGGTATTGTTTACTTCTTGATTGTTGGCCTAGTGTTAATCTGCATTTCTGAGTGCTGATTGCTGGCAAGGAGGTATTTTGGTCCCTTTGTTTCATTTTTGGAGAGTGTCCCCCATACCCTTCTCGCACTGATGATGTTGCCCGGTTGGGTAATGAAACATCTGCCAGAAATCAACAAAGGTCAGAGAGCACCAAGGGCCCCACAGTTTAACTTTGAACTACAAATATTTTCTTCTATGAGTCTCTCATTTATCATGGATTTCCTTGCCATTCTACAACGCCCCCACCTCTCTCAGCTGCAAATTGGCTCGTGTTCACTTTTAGAATGATTGTTATTGACAAAGCTGTGGAAAAGCTAGAAGGTCAGTCAGCCACCTTCTTACTATAGGGAGCTTTAATTGCATTATACATTGGGGGGAGTGAAGGAGTCAGTGGGTAAGTGGGGGAAGGAACAAACATTTCTGTGGAGTGAATGTCATAGTTTGTTATCTACTTAGAAAAAATTGCTCAAAGCCAACAGAGGAAGGGAGGGAGGGAAGGGAAGAAAAGAGAAGGAAGGAAGGAAGGGAGGGAGGGAGGGAGGGAGGGAGGAAGGAAGGAAGGAAGGAAGGAAGGAAGGAAGGAAAGAAGGAAGGAAAGAAGGAAGGAAAGAAGGAAGGAAAGAAATGGGAGGGAGGGGAGGGAGGGAGAGAAAGAAAAAAGAGAGAAAGAAAGATAATTAGG